AAACATTCACATGAATGTGATCTTTTGATGAAAAATATTATTTAACGTGACAGATGCAAGTAATGAAACTTTCTACAATGAGAATCATTAAAATTCACAACACCAACATTACAAGATATCTCGAGAAACACATCTTGAAGTATCATTGGTGTCCTATCAACTAGCTTGTGATGAAGGTACAGAAAGTAAAGCCGCTACTGAATCCTTTCTGCTAGAAAATTNAAAATAAGAATGAATAACTTTTAAGACAAAACAATTCAAGGATTTTTTAAAATGTTTTAATTATGTTTATCAATTAAATGCAAAAACTATAGAGTTTATCAATGAATAAAAATAATTTAAGAAAAAAAAAACAATTCGGATTTAGCAGATATTCTGAATATAATTATTCACTACGATTATTTTTAAGATTACACCAACATTTCGTGTATATTTATTAAAATATAGAAGTAAATTAAAAGTTATCTTCTCTTTTTTGAAAAATCTCATCGCAGTAAGGGACGCGTGTATGAAACATTTTACAAGAATTCGTTTTATCGATTCTCGTAAAATTATGATAACTAATATTTAAGATCTTGTAAGCATAAAACTATAATCAATTGAAAAGATAAGTATTGATTTTAAAGTGTTATATATCAGTAGAACAAAACTGAAGTGATTTTATTGATAAAAGATAATATTAAATTCTCCAGTAGTGATTCTTAATATAGAGGAGTTTAGGTAACTAACTCACAAAATGTGCAGACTCTGTAATCCATAAAAAAAGTCCTCATGGATACTAGTGAATTGAGTAAATTACGAAGGTGGCTATACATTATTTAGTTAAATCTGCCCATTTCATAGTACACTTCCATGGGATTACTCCGAATGAATGAATTTTCAATAACACTGATTTATTACCACGAGAGGTCGTAAACTTTCTTTGGAAGCCGTATTTTTCGAATTTTTCAGTTCAATAAAAAGACCACTCTCTTTTTTCAATCAAAATTAACAACAAATATTTGAAATTTATGCCCTACAAACATAATTCCAAGTTGATAAATGCAAGTGAAAGTACCGTCCAAAGTTCACGTTTACTCCTCGTATTTTGAAACCTCTAGCCCGCGGTGACACACTATCTTACTCATTGCATCCATAAATCATTCGGGCATTGAAAAGAAAAAAATTACCATATTTTCGATAAACCGTAAGCAAAGTTTCTCTTAAGTCTCAAGCAAAAAAGCTTTTGTAGTACATAAAAAAAAAAAAAAAAAAATTAATCTCATCATTTCCACCCACGTTTACAACGATATCTGTTAGAACTCGAAGCTAAGCTCGTTCCTTCTCTATAAGCTAAGTCACAAAGAAGCCTTCGCTGTGACTGCCACATGTCTCAGCAGACTAAGGTATCTAGCAACGTTCAGCTCAACCTGCCTTGGCTCGTGCATTTCCGAAACATACCTAAGCGCTAAACACATTTGCCAACTATTTGACTCTTTTTTTTCCCAGAAAATGCTATCTCCAACCCCATTCGTGATCTTAAGTATAAGATCGTTGTACTTGCCAACGACTCGAGAGGCATACGATGCCCACTAGTAGTCTGCAGAAGTACAGCGACGTTTTATCGCCGTAGTGGAAGAGGAAAAAATTTGTCGACTGAAACAAAAGTTTCTGTATGCAGATAGAGGAAGGAAACAGCTCCAAAAAAAGTCCCACTCGAAGATTCCGTGATTATACATTTGCATGAGACGGTGCAGTTTAATGGCAGGGAAATTGATTTAGAGTCAGAGTTTAGCCGCTCGGGATCGTGGCGGTGAGAAAAATTGCCATTTGAATTCCGATCCCTGGACCGACAGTGCAAGATATGGCTAAGTCGATTATCGGAAAATCAAAGCGGATGAATGTAGCTGTACTTCATTTTTATTCGCACTCTTTTTTTTTAGAAAATTCATACTAGTTTCCAGATTCAATCAGCCAATACAGAAACATGCACCTGAGAGCACACAATAAGTAGTACGTACCCGTGTATGGTCAGACGTGTAACTATACACAAGTGTCAGTTGATCGATTATCGTCGTCACATTTCTCTTGCCAAACGTATCATCATTTGATATTTTTCCTATGCGTAGAACAAACATTTCGATCAAACTGCGCTCAGACTCTCGTGAAGCGGGAGCAACATTACGGAGCACGAGTTTCCGTTAATAAAAAAGCGACAGCTCGCCGGCAGCACCCCATCCTCAGTTTTCAAACATCTCCCGTATAAAAATCCGAGGAAGAAAAGGAAACGAGTGGAAGGAAAAAATTCTCACGTGGTGCTCTTTTTCCGCGGAAAAATGCGGTGATTTTCTCCCACCGAACTCCCCGTCCCTCGTCGCGCGTTGCAAGCGAGGCTCGTTTGGGTTTTCACGCGCGCAGCAGCCGAGATAATCGAAAACCAATTACGTGAAAGCCTCGTAAAGTTTGCGCCGCGGGCCCTGGAGGAATCATAAATCCAGGACGGTATCTGCCCCCCGCGCCACTCGTCAAACCTACCGCGCTTCCTGTCCCGGATATCACATCCCCCTCTCTTTTCACGCGCTGCTCTGTTTTGCGTCTCCTCGTCCCTCCAGCGCCGCTCTATTTTTCTCACTCGATCGGGTTTCATTTTTTTCCACCAGACATGTATACAGGTACGAAGGCGGTCGAAGGAGTGAGGAAAAAAAGGGCGCGAGAAAAGAGAGGGGGTGCCGAGGTCACGGATCATTATTGCAGGGGGTCGATCGAGGCTTGGCGCTCGTCGGAGTGTAAAGTAGAGACGACGGGAGAAATACAGCGCGGGCCTCTGAGCGCAAACTTGGACTTGAGGACAAAAACTTGCTTTCATGAGCCTCTCATTGTTCTTCTGTGCGAGTGCGGGCGACAAATGTTTTGTTCGTTTTAAAGGACGATCATAGCTTTGGTTTCCTGTGGTGAAAAATACAAGGGGATGGTCGGGACTCCTCATCGTAACTGACGCAATAAAAAGGTCTACTTGGATCGATGGGTGAGATGATGTCGTCGGTGGTAAAAAAGGACTGGCGTTGAAAACAGAACTCGATTAATCACAACTTTGTCCTACGGAACTTTTCGGGGACTGCGTCATCAGGCGAGTCAGCATTAATCAGCCCAGTTTTTATCTCCTCCGCGAGACCAGACAGATATTTCCCTTGCGAGTGGAACTAATTAATTTTCATACGCAGCTACGCCAGCAGTCCAACAAATGCTCGGGAAATTCCACTTCGCGGCACATTCGTCGCGAATCGATCCAAACAGTCCCTCCTTGTCTTTTTTGCATTTCGCGACTGGAAAGTACGGCTCCCCCGAGAAATCGACCACCGCCACGATTTCGAGGAGGGTACTATAATTTGGAGGGGCATATCGTCGCGTGTGGGCGCGTCGATGGTAAGTACAGGGGGTTGAGGTAAGGAGAAGGGTATAATTGAGTCCTCGGACTCGGCGGGCTCGCGTGCCCCCGAGGAAAGCCGTGTTTTGTACTTTTGGAGTGTGTAACGTATTGGGGTCACAACTCGTTTTGTTTGCCTATGTTTGATCGAATGCGAGTTTGAACGATTGGTCTGTCACGCGTGGGTGGACGTTCAAGATTGTCCACTGCGATTTCTGTGAGTTATAGTCGACCAGCCCCTTTTTTTTTGCTTTTGTCAATAATGATCCAGTTGACAAATGTATACAACAATTGTGAGGTGGTTCAAATGATGTAAGGTTTCCTAGGATTACCATATTGCTAAGGTTCGTTCAAAATTTGATGTTGGTCTTTATGTTGTCTTGAAACGCAAGATCAAAGCCAGGATCAAATTTTTTTTCTTTTGAGCTTCATTAGGACAAGACTGGTTCTTTATACCTTTATATTTGTTTTGATGATCGTCAAAGGGCAATGTCCTAATCTAATCATGTTTTTAGCCTTGGCTAAGATTTTATTTGTTCCTTTCCAAATTTGCGCTGTCTATATCTACTTCCTTTCAACAGTCACATCATAAAATAAGTAAACACTAAATTGTTATCTTAAAAGCTACATTAAATATTTTATTAATCATACTTGAAGCTTTTTTACGCATATAATTTTAATGAATAACACTTTTTGAGTTCCAAAGATGAAAAAAAAAGATCCTAGTATTTGCTCGTAAAAACCTTATTTTTTAAGCATGTTGAAAAAAAAAAAATTTGCAATAGTAAGTGCAGAGTTATGTGTCTATAGGTAGATACATGAAGTAGTTTTTTTCTTTACATTATTTTTATAGTGAAATCTACAAAATTCTGAACTAAAATGGATATTTGGTTTTTATCATCCTTCTAAATTTTTTTTATTTACGTGGGTGAGTAATTAGTATTTGACGCGATGGCCTGACAACTTCTCCAATCCCCGTGAATAATTTTGCCCACAATCTTTATTTCGTAGAGTTTTGCAACAAAATGTCAATTTAACCAACACTAAACTCATTTGCTAAAATTATTTCTAATGCTCAAGTTTTTAATTCCTCCGTCCGAATTCATAATCTAAATTTTCTTTGCCTATAAATCTACATCACTTTGTCCTGTAAAGCAATTAATAGACGCGTGATATTACCCTATCAATGCCCACTATTTCTATCCTCTAATTTTTGCTCTGTTAAATACCATCAAGCCTCTCACCGATAAACTGTGGCAAAGCCCTTCACTATTTTCTTGTCTATCTTTTACATTAACCTATACATGATTGTATGTTTTACATATTGAGCATGATATTTGTCAGTGATTTCACTCTTAGCTTGTGAATTTATTGTTGCAACATTATCCCTGGCAATAATTTTCTTTCTTCCGTGCTTATCGCATCCATCCATCGTACGCTATAGTATTTGTAAAAAAAAAAAAAAAAAAAAAAAAAAAAAAAAAAAAAAAAAAGTAGTAAAATGAGCTCCATCCACCCCACACGGATCTAATCAGCGACCAATTAAAAAATCTTGCGGGGAACGAAGCGAACCGACAAAGGAGGAGGCAGCACTCACCTGATTGATGCAGCAGGACAGCCATCAGCGAGCAAACGGCGCCCAGCCACCTCCGGCGGTCCAACTCGGCCATTTCGCTGTCCGCTCCAATTACCCGGGCACAATCGCGGCAGTACGCCGACAGCGGACTACCGGAAATGAGGCGCAGAAAGCGAAACGTCCGAGGGACGATCACGAACACATGGAACCGAAAGACACAGCCACTCGCGCACACCGTATTACGTACACACTCGCGTATTAACCAACACACGTGGATACAGTGACCGGCTTACAGCGCGGACTACTTTAATCACGAGTTTAAATTTACTCGGAATGGCGTTCACACGTACGCTCCCGCATCTCAGGAGTCAACAACGGTAGATTCGCAAACAATCGTGGTAGTTGCAACGGCACTCGCGCACTAATGGGACACAAAAGTTACGGCACTGACGAGGAGGCAGGCAACTATTAAATACTGATCAATCCTGCAGACGATGCCAGGGATCGAGAACCAATCAGCTTTGACCTGCACTCTCTCGCGTTATCTTTTAAGAAAGAGGGAGAGGATAATCCCAATCTGTTGTAACACTGAGCGCACCTCACATCCTAGGGAGTGGGTCTTGTGTTTCCGCTGTACATGTATCTTTGGACAGAGGAAGTCGCATGGCACTTAATCGTTCAGAGCATCACAGTGTCTTCTTCCACTTCCAGGGTTCCAGAAGACGTGGTTGCACATCTTTCCCTTCGGTTCCTCGTCCCGTGGTGTATCCACGAGCCCTCCCCGTTGTCTTTTATTCAACAACGAGACGCTGCTTCTTATGGTAACGACGGTGCTTGGGTGACGGATCGCTGTCCAGCCCCACTGTCCGTGGTTGGATCCTCAACTCGTGCAAGCTGCAGGGAGCCATGGTCGGGCTCTCCACCTCCTCTTCTCCTCCAGGCACTGTGCGCGCCTTTTGTCTCTGTCAGCTGGCGCCTTCGTCGCTGGCTGCTTCAGTCGTTCGTTACTGCCATGTTAACAGTCCGCTATCTAAAACAGAAAGGGTGCTTTATTTTGTTGCGAAGCCGGGGTAATGAGCTCTTTTAGTGCGAGATCGAGACTGGTTGTGGAAACAGGTTGTCACGTGCCGGACAAAAGATACAGGGAGTTCAAATTTTTCAGATTGATTGATGGTACAGAGCTTGGGACGAGCTTTAGAATATCCTCTAAACAATGGGAGCTATACTACTTTATGGAAAAGACGATGTTTTTCAGTTTTCACTTTAGGAAGATTATCCATACTTTTTTTATCATGTTAGTCATGGATATGAATGTCTTCTAATTATTGAAACCGTTTCAATTACGTGTTATCTTCAGGAAAAAAGTGTAAAATGACTGAGTTAATTACTATGGAGTGTTAAGATTTGAATGAAATGTCAAGGTGCTAATTCTTAACCCAAAATGTTGAACCGCAACAGTTCAACTGAGATCCATAGTTTCCTTGGCTTACGCTTCAACTCACATTCATGAAGTAACAGTCATTTCATCAATCATAGCATTTTATTTTATGACCAAACTTAAAATTTTTTGGACTAAAATTATATGCTGGAAAAATAAACAATAATTCATTTTGGTTTTCTAAATTTGTAGCAAGTTTTTGGAGTAGTGATGGTTTAACTGTGCTGTAGCATTTTATTTCACTCAAGCGGGTTGTTATATTTTGGAAAGCTTTCGATTAAGCTTTGAAGTTTTTAGGACATTACCTGATTATTACGATAACTCTAAATAAATGATTATGGATTCCATGCATATGTCATTACTTCACTGTTTGTTTTATTTTATTTGCTTAACGTGAGCTTAAAACTTTTCAGGTGATTTTTGTTTCAAAAAAGGATTGTGAAGTAAGTGGTTAAGCAAATAAATGTTGAGCGATACCCGTTTGCACAGTTTGGACGTTGTTTAATTAAAGTTTTATAATCAAGCAAACTAAATGAAAGATAAAATAGCGGGTTTTCAAGTGACGAGCATGAATGGACAGTATTACTGTTTTAAAGGGATAATTATGTAGCCATGCAGTCACCATTTAAATTTCGAGTAAAATAACGGATTTTAGTGTGTTTATTGTGAAAACAAATAAATACTGTGCTTTACTTCATTTTCAAAATGGTTATATTCAAAACTTAAAAATTTGTATACCTAATTTAATTTTGTTTACCAATTACAACCTAAAAAAAGGATGATTTATAGGTGAACACAACTTTTTTGTCACCCAAAGTAATTTTTTTTTTCAGCTCGACAGATTCTGAAGATACTGAATTAAATCGACAAATTCTAAATAATCAATGTTTAATCCCAAAGACAAACATATTGCTACTATTTCATCACTAAAAGCCGTAACTCGAGTAGTATCTCGCATAATGATTTTCCAATAAATTTAATCCTCATCGTGTAATTCTATTGTCCTGCGTCGAAAAACAACGTACAAAAAGCAGCCCGTAACAAAATTCGTCCAACCGAGAGGAATACTCCTGGCCGAGCTCGACATCCCGTCCACCACTTGGAGCAATCTATCAGTAGACTCGTTTTCTCTCTTGGCTCACGCACAATATGTGGTCCCTGAACCAGCCAAGAGGTCCCTTGTACGTATAAATCTCCATCTCTCAGCGATTTCGCGGGCAAACAAAAAGAGCCCCTGCAGCAGAAGCAGTGACAGTAACGCGAAATCCACGAATAGTCGAGAGGAAGAAAGAACTACAAATTGAAAGCTCGGCAATTCCGAGCGAGGGTCCGCAAAAAAGGGAGAAATGGATTTTTCGCAATTTCTGGCAAAAGAAGAAACAAAAGAGATCCGATGAGAGTGGATGGAGAGACAAGCGCGGACTGGTTGGGTGGAATAATCTCTCCCTGACGTTTATCCCAACAGAGCCCACTTGAAACCCCCCCTCTCTCTCTCTCTCTTCCCTACGAGCATATTGGAAATTTCTCCGCAAACTCTGGACTGCTACTGCTACCAGCTAGAGTGGAAAGGACAAGAGAAGGCAGAGGGGCGAAGGTTGTTAACCCAAGTTTCGAGATCCTTGACAAATCCATTAAAGGCGCCGCACTGAATACTCGATTCCAGAGCGAGGGAGACTAGCCACCAGCGCAGCTGTCTGACAAGATAATTTGCTTGGTCTATCGACCTTGTCCTGTCTTCCCCGGCTTGTTGGGTGTTGGGTGTCGGCGTATACCTACGAACGGGAAGGACAAGCTATTACCCCCGTGCCCAGCCAATTAAGGGGCAAACAAAAGTACGACATGACCGTTTAGAGACACGTGGACAAGATGATGGGCAGGCCAGGAGGTCAGTGTGGGCGTAAGTGTAAAGTGATTGGCTGAATGGTCCTTTGGAGACGGGGTGTGGAGGAAAGTGCGGATGGATTTTGCGATTCAAACGTTGCGCTTTTTTGAGTTGGTTAAATGGGGGATGAAGGAACGTTTATTGAAAAAGTGCTGATTTGTTTGATATTGCAGAGAGTCGAGTTCCACTACCTTCGTTGAAAAATATTAACTGGAGAATTTATTTGACTACTTCAGTTTTACCGGTGCTGTCGGAGATATCGTGCAGATCGAACAGGGTCCTTAACACAATTGGAGAAACAGACTAGTCTGGGAGGTTCGGGATCCAAAGTGCATTTGGAATCAATCTTTTATCTTTATTTTTTTTTTTGTTTCAAATTTTCATAACATTATTCAAAAATATTCAAATTGTCAATCGTAATGATGGACTTTGGTGCGATCTACGTTGCAAATACTTTGCAATCAGAATGATAAAAAAGATTGATACGAAACATGATTGACCCCATTTATTACCATGAAAAGTAATGTGTTGTGAAACGATTTCATTATTGACCCCCTTTTTTTCACAGCACCTCATTGTCAAATTTTTAATTTTTGATTTGCATGGATACATTTTTCGATCTTGAGTATTCGTTTGACTTTTTAGGAAAAAGTTTTTAACGAAAAGAAGCTTAGAAGTGCTCTGAAAAAGTTACTTTTCCAACTTTATGAAATGAAAATGACTTATTAGTCTGGAAACTTGATTACGCACTCGCAGCGTTCATTGCACGCTTGGTTTCAAATCGATCGTTTTCTGGAAGAAATCCAAAGCTACTGAAATTCACGAAAAAGACGTCTCAAGCATCGACCTCATTGCGTTTAATTTCAAAACATGTCCATGCCAAAAGCGGTACATGTCATCAATTTGACTCTCTATCCCTTATTCAAACCTGATCGTATTATACTGACTTGTAAAGAATTGGTCTGTCAATCGATGAAGTCAAAACTATTATATTATTCGAGATTTCGCATGGATTTTGTAATCGAAATTCTCGGTAGATGACAACAAAGTCGAGAAATTTGTTTTTAGATGACAGGACACAATGCACAGGCGATTTGAAATGAGAGAAATTCAATTTCAGTGTACGTGTCATCGTTGGACTTTTTGCTCCATTTTTGTTGAAATTTCATGCATTGAAACTATAGAAGTTGCAAGATTCCGAGCAGATAAAATTTGTCGTTTCTAGAGTCAGCAGTGGGCTTTTGCAAACGCGACGGGAGAAAACTTGAAAAACGAGAGAGGGCAAGGGAGATAAAAAGAATCTATCAAATGAATCTTGATGGAAAACTAGGCCAAACTCCTTGTACATTAATGAATAATTCCATCCAAGTACGCGCGTTGATGAAACGCTTGAAACGTGCTCGAAGCTTTTGTAATATTGATAAAACCATTTTTTCTGTCGACTCGTACATGAGCTCGTTGTTTTTGCGCGATTGCAAACTGTTGAAAGGACACAATTAAACTACGCTCGAAAGGCTCCAAACACATGGACAAAATATGTACAAAAGGATAGACTCTTCCGTTTATGGTCGTCTTCTTATAACTACTGTTATGAATATGTATAACAAATCTTTGTACGGTTAGACTGCACTGTTGACAATCAGAGCAAAGAGTCAAGAATCTCGAGACCAACAAACAACAACAAAATAGGATTCACCAGAATTTTATAAGTGGCTACAACAAACAAAGACGAAGCAAAAGAATCTTAGTCAAGAAAGTCATAAAAAGAATCGCTCAAATCAGAAAAATACGAGGGAAAGAAAGAGAATATAAAAAATGCTTTGAGCTGCAGCTCAATAAATTCGTCCTTCCGCCTCCTGATTCTCCAGACACAGAGTTCAGTACCAAACCGTGTCCCTATTTCTCTCGAATACATGTATAAAGAGCGAAAGGGGG